CCAGTTTTAGCATTACCTAATCAAACAGATCCTTTTGTCTTGGATACTGACGTGAGTAATTTGGCAGTAGCTGCAGAATTAAGTCCGATCAAGGATGGGCAAGAGAGAGTAATAGCCTATTCAAGTTTTTCTCTAACACCTGGACAGCAGTGTTTTTGTACGACGCGGAAAGAATTACTTGCGGTTGTTCGATTTACCCGTCAATTTAGGCATTATCTTTTGGGTTGTGCTTTTACGGTCAGGACTGACCATAGTAGTCTCACCTGGTTACTTAAGTTTAAACGCCCTAATGGACAGTTAGCTAGGTGGATGGAAGAACTTGCCCAATATGATATGACTGTAAAATATCGACCAGGTTCCAAACATCTAAATGCAGACGCCCTGTCTAGGATACCTGTGTCAGGCCCTTGTCCTGATTTTGCCCTGAATGTGCGTCCTAGTGATTTGCCCTGTTGAGGTTGTAAATATTGTATAAGAGCCCATGAAAATTGGTATGAATATCAAACTAATGACGAAGAAGCTGTCCCTTTAATCCCACCCAAAATTAATAGAAAACCCACTATTGATATTGACCTAAATATACTATTCAAAAAAAGTAGGGGATATTTGATTTTGGGGGCATAATACTAAAATATGCAAATGACTACGAAAAAAAGTCACTATAGAACTTAACAGAAGAAACATTTCCAGTTACATGTGACGCCCAAATGCACCAATAGCTACCGCATGGAATGCAGGTGATGCTTGGGATCATCATGGGGGTCCAACCCAAGATTTGCACGACTCTGACTTTGAATGTTACAGTCATTGTGGCATTGAATTCCAGGGTGGAAACATCAGTTTAATTGTTTTAGTGACCAGAAAACAAATTTTGATATGCGTCGGCTTACCCAAAATGAAAGGTTACGTGCCCTTGGCATGCTACAGATCGGCACAACACAGGCGGTTGTGGCGCGGACGATGAATGTTTCTCAGTCTGTCATAAGCAGGCTATGGTCCAGATACCGTGATACACAATCTGTACAGGACAGACCACGCTCAGGTCGACCAAGGGCGACAACTCAAGCCCAGGATCGATTTATCCGTACCTTGGCCATGAGAAATCGTGTCATCACAGCAAATCAGATCAGCGCTCGTCTTCAAACAGACACTGGTATGAGAGTGAGTGGCCAGACGATTCGGAATCGACTGCATAGGGGTCACCTTCGCGCCCGACGTCCTCGCGTGATCCCTTGTTTGAGAGATCATCACATTCAGGCAAGACGTCGTTGGTGTAGGGATCGTCAACACTGGGATAATCGACGCTGGAGCAATGTGATGTTTTCAGATGAGTCAAGGTTCACTGTTGATTTTTTGGACAGACGTAGGAGGGTGTGGCGTCGTCGAAACGAGCGCTTCCAAGACGTTAACGTCATCAGACATGATCGATTTGGGGGTGGTTCTGTTATGGTGTGGGGAGGCATCACTGTTGCTGGAAGAACGGCTTTACATGTTGTTGCAGGGCGTGTTACAGGCCAGTACAACCGGGACAACATCTTGGCAGTCCATGTTGTGCCGTTCGCACGACGTCATGGCCGCCGTTTCATCTTCCAGGATGACAACGCAAGATGTCACAGGGCCAGGATCGTTACAGGTTACCTCCAACAACAGAACATCACCACATTACCTTGGACAGCACTGAGTCCCGACCTGTCCCCCATCGAGCATGTCTGGGACATGCTTGGACAGAGGTTACGTCAACGTCAACAACGTCCTGCCAATGTCCAAGAACTTGCTGCTGCGTTGCAACAGGAATGGGACAATCTGGACCAAAATGACCTTAGACGTCTCATTAGGAGTATGCCACGTCTGATCAATGCTTGTTTGGCAAACAGAGGAGGATTTACCCGTTACTGACTTGGTTGTGATGCTGTGGTAACTTTGCTGTTTGACCCCGGGTATCATTTTACCCTTATAATGGTCAGTCTGTGCCTTACTTAGTCTAACGATCATTTGGAATAAATCGATGAATGTGAACTTCATTTCATTTTGTCATTTGTTTCTTCGTCAGTTTCATTAGGTGACTTTAATAACACTTAAAAATCAAATATCCCCTACTTTTTTTGAATAGTATATTAAAAGAGATCGGTTGATAAGTACCCTTTTATCTATAAATATAGTGGTGAAAATATACTTAACTGTACTGGGGAATCACCCCTTGACCCATCAAGCCTTACTTGGCCATCACAGGTTAGGTCAATAGGGGGGTGAAGCTGTGGGGCTTAGACCTGATCTAAGTGTCAGATAAACACCCAATTTTACTATATAATACCCCTCTGGCTCTAGTCTAGTAGTAGTGAATAGTACTAGTGTCGACATAGCTAAGCCGCTAAGCTAGTACAGTACATCAGAATCAATGGGAGTAAATAGTCTTCTTAAAGTTCAAAGTAAACAGCTAGGCCTAGAAGCTCAAGACTGGTTTCTCTAAAACTACTAAAGACAGCACACAGCACAGACTAGCCTATTTTTCAATAAATTACAATACATGTACATGAAAAAAGCTGAGTGAGCATGCCATTTGATTGGTTATGTATCATGATATCATTCCCAAACCAATAGGATGCTTAGTTTGTTTAGTTTAAGTTGTAGCGCTTGGCCTGGACACCTCCCTTATTAACTGTCTAGGCTGGCCTTGGAGTTAATGATTTATACTTATAGATGCCCTGTCATCTCAATTAAATGTTAGTGGTTGTAGTAATCTAATTGAGTAGTTCTTACTTTAACTACAAGCCTAATACTATTGCACTGTTGGCATATTGCTATCCTTAAGGCCTAGCTGACTTCATAAGCTCAGTCGGAGCAGGACGTCAGCCAATGATAGATGCCCTATCAGTATCATCACAAAGCTAGTGGGTGTAGTAATCTGGTTCACTCCCATTTCGACTACGTCCCATTTCGACTACACCCCATTTCGACTACAAATTTTATTACCCTTAAAATCCTGACCCCCAAATAATCATCAATGAACTGTTCCACTGATTAAGAGATCTAATTAAGGTAATGATTATTGTTAAAATAGCTTATTCATTATAATATAGCTTGTTTTTTAACATCAAAGCAAAAATATCAACTTAGAGTACATTTTTGTTTTGACAAATATTTTAATACTTGCTTATCTATAAAAGATGAATTTTTTCAAATTTTGTACATTTATTCTTCAATTTCACTATCATTCAATCAAAATTTTTGCTATCTTATTAGAATTCTTTTATAAGAAATAGTTTGTTTATTTTCAAATGCGGTAATTAACAATACCATTGTTTTATGTGTATATGGCGGGACTTTGTGATGTCAATAATAGAGGAAACTCCAAACATCACCAACGCCGATGAATTTAATGAAAAGACACCAATTCAATATTTGGATGCAATATTATTTATGGGGTACTATAGTGCTACATGTATATTAATATCATACAAATTGATACAATAGACAATAGAACCAGTGTTTTGTAAATATTATATTTGGACTACTGTTTTGACTGCCAGTGCTATGTAAATAGACAATGGAACCAGTGCTTTGGAAATATTATATCTTGTTTTGTTACATATTTTATACAATTTTTATATAAATTAATTTTTCATTCTTTTTTCTGTTTGTTTCGATATAATCTGTTATATGCTGTAGCCTGAATGGGATATGGAAGAATCTATTTTCGCTATAGAGAGGGTATATAAGTAGGGATAATAAAATCACCAGACCGTATAATCTGTTGTTATAAGCTGTAGTCGAAATGGGACGTAGTCGTAATGGGAGGATACCAGTAATCTACTACTAGTACTATTGCTATCAGTAAGGCCTAGTGTACTATAAAATGATAAAAAATCATGCCTCTTCTGGGACTTAGTCCAACTACTGGTTTGTCCCACATGCCCATCAATCAATAGGAGAAAAAAGTGAATTTCTATGCCAAACTTTTCCTTGCCAGTACTCGCTATCCCCCACCACCACCACTCCTGCCCCCTCCTTCAGAAAATAAGAAGAGACTGATTTTGCCTTATTATTAGTAATTATGTAATATACCCCGACCCCCTTCACAACCACCACCCTTGTTGCTTTAGATTTTAGAGATTCTGGTAAAATTTAGAAGGGTAAGCTAGACAAATGAATCTCAGACCACTTTGATTTGGAGAGGAGGGGGTCAGTGAAATGAACGGACTGGTAGGTATGTCAAAAATAAAGATCACAAATGTTCAGTAATATACCTTAGACCTTACAGTCTTCCACAATACATTATAAAGTATGCTTAATGGGGAATAACTCCTGTATAAATGTATGGACTAAGACTAGTAATTATTTCCCCTTATTTCATGATGGACGAATGTAGTGCAAGTTATAAATAGACAATTTTTCCCTTAATTTTTTTCTCCCCTCTTCCTGCATTTTTGGGTTGACTTTTTGTTCTAGAATTGGAGAAAAGGGACCAAATTTGCAATTTCATAGCAGTTTTGGGTAATACTGATGATATTACAGCGGAGGGATAGGGGGTGTAAAGTGTCTTTCTGCAGAGCAATCATTGTGTCGGAAGTGAGACTGTCAACTTCAAATCCATGTAGCAAAAAATCTAAATGGTCAACCCCCTACAAAATTATGATGAGGAGATTGCCAAATGTTGTCCCCATTGTGCCTATAAAGATTGGAACCAACGGAATGTTGAGCAAAAAGCTACAGCCTGTGATGTTGTTACAGTCATGTAACATTGAAGTCAATGGGAAATAATTGCTAGTCTGAGTCCTGATGATATAAAGAAGCATGGCTGACTCGATATGTTGATATTTTTTCAACGGCTTATTTCCTGAAGTTTTGAATGGAAAGTGTCAGAAATGGTAAGAATACTGCTTTTTTATTGCCCAGCAGTAAGTTTTTTGACTATTTGGTATCAAAATAGCCATGATTGGGGGTTTCCGTTGGTTGAGTGTGAATTTTGGGTTGTAAATGTGTAACATTTTGTTCACAATGATATCAAAACATGGTTAGGTCTAAATATTAAGGCCAACTCAACTGCAAATTTGGTCTAAAGTCACGAGATGTAAATTAGACTGACCCTAACCCTAACCCAAGACCCAGTCCTTACCCTAACCCTAACCCACAATCTTGTCAAAAAGCATGTAGCCTAAGCCAAGACCTAGTCCTGACCCTAGCCCAAACCCACAATTGTGTCAAAAAATCATGTGCCCTAACCCTATTTACATGTTGTGACCTTGAACCAAATCTGCAGTTGGCCTTAACATTTAGACCTAACATGTTTTTGACATCATACAATGAAATGTTAACATGTACACTCCAATATTCACACCTGTGACTTTTGACCAAACATGCAGTTGGCCTTAATATTTAGACCGAACCTCAAAACATGGCATCTACCTTTGAGATTGGCTTAGACTTATGTGACACTCAAGGTTTACTTTTTTACTGACTGTTAACTGGTTTCTTTTTGGAGGGCCAGTGACAGGCTGTTCGCTAGAAATAAAGAGGTTTATTTCTATTTCCAGTTGAAACCATATTTTTTTCTTATTTTCTCACTGTTTTTTATTGCATATTTATCCCCAGCCTCCTATCATTTCAGGTGCCAGGGTAATGTTTCATAGAGTGGAATGATTGACCTCAACACAAGTATTAAAAAAAAAAGAAGCAAACCAGGTGAGATAAATGTGCATTTCATAGACTTTAAGAAGTACATCCAACCTGATCCCCACTTCTGCTCACTAATAGTAATGGGCTGGAAAAATTTGGTACTGCACAGGCCTGTCTTCTCCTCTTGACATTTAACTGAATGACAGAATTCACCATTTTGACCATTTTCTGGATGTCAATGACCGTTTCCCTGGATAGTATTCGCCCCAGAATTCTCATTCTCATCCAAATTTAACATTTCAGGTCTACATCTCAAAACCTGATGTCTTCCTGGACTGGCTTTAGGAGAACGATGATGCATATCAATTTCATCCCTGATCTCTATGACACCTGTGGTGGAAGTGGAGGGCAAATCGTAATCAGTTTGGGTTCCAGCCCCGAGGACCTCTGTAAACTTTGCTTTTTGGTGATGACTTAATTTCCGAGCTTGAAAAGGACGCCCGTGTGTTTATCATGGCCTCTCATATTGGAAGATAACATTAATGGCTTGTGTGTTGATCGACGGTTGTGCATATCTCTTGGTCAGGAAAGTTGTAGGCACCATCGCCATTGTAAATCATTTGACAGGCCCGAGTGAACAGGGCGACCTATGATTGGTCAGCAATGTATCAGATTCCATACCGGGGGGTGGGGATGAAAAAACTGTTGTGGTGTTACATAATCAGATTATTTCAACTTACTTATCCTGTGGAAATACAGCTATATAGGAGGTATTTTGAAATTCATAGGCACTGCATGTTTCAACATCTTAGATTTGACCACAATTTGGCACTTGAAACTATGTTAACAGAGAAAAACTGTGTGGTTTTCGATGAAAGTGTTACAAGTCTAATATTGCATCATGATTACTGTTTTAAAGTATTTTCGTGTTTGATTTATATTGAATTCATCTCATCTTTTTGAAGAATGCATTTATGTTCAAAAATAAAAATGTTCTGTGGAATTCAAAATTCATGTGCTTTTAAATTATCAGATTCCAAACTGGGGGGTGGGGATGAAAAAGCTGTTGTAGTGTTACATAATCAGATTATTTCAACTTACTTATCCTATGGAAATACAGCTATATAGGAGATATTTTAAAATTGATAGACACTGCATGTTTCAACATTTTAGATTTGACCACAATTTGGCACTTGAAACTACGTTAACAGAGAGAAACTGTGTGGTTTTCGATGAAAGTGTTAAAAAGTCTAATATTGCATCATGATTACTGTTTTAAAGTATTTTCGTGTTTGATTTATATTGAATTTATCTCATCTTTTTACAGAATGCATTTATGTTCAAAAATAAAAATGTTCTGTTTAATTCAAAATTCATGTGCTTTTAAATTTCTGTCTGAAATTCCGCAGTTTTCTGATGTATTATAGTGTTTGCAGAATGCCGCACAGCTCATCTGAAAATGCATAGATTTTCATATTCTTTGGCCAGGGAATTGCATATATGTTTGTTTATTAGATAACAACAGATTTGTTTAAACTGCAGAAACATGTGAGGTATATACAGGGGCGGATCCAGGGCTCTAGCTGGAGGGGGTTCCAAAAAAATAAGGGCACCCCATTTTCGTCTAATACAGTATCCATGACCGGCGGGTGTCGTAGGCGCGCGCTAGCGGGGTGTCTGGGGAAATTTTTTTAAATTTCAGACCATTCTAAGACACTCTGGTAGGTTTTAGAGGCATAAAACTAGATTTATAATACAGCATTGCAACAACATTCCACATACCATGAGAAAGAAATATTGTAAGTTTAAACAAAATAAATTAATGGAATTTTTCAATTTTTATTTTACTTAAAATGCAAAATACTGAACCATGAATTATTGGACTGAAAACAAAACATTGAGACCTATTATCTGTTTGGCAGGAATATGTCCTCTGGTGACGACAACTGTGAGCTAGAAATCTCAACAACAGGTTTTGTTACTGGTTCAGCAGAAAGAACGGAAGGCCTAAAAATAAAAAGAGTAATTCTATACACAGGTTTGGCATTTAAAATGTGCCCCTCAAATCGATGGGATCGACATAAAAAGGCCCTCTTTAAATAAATTTGCCATAAAGTGTGCCCTCCAAATCCAAGAGTTTGACGTGAAAATGCCCTTTGAATCCTTTTGACGTAAAAATTGCCCCTGCAATCCATGGTTTTGACGTTAAAATGCCCTCTGTATATCGACTTGGCGTTGAATGTGCCCTCCTCATTCAAGGGTATCACATTAAAATGCCCTTTTTAATCATTTAGGTACAAAAAGTGCCCCTTTGATGTAAAGATGCCCCTATTTTATATCGATTCGGCAAAAAATATGCCCCTTAAACCCATGATTTTCACTTAACAGTGCCCTATTTTAGGCCTTAATGTGCCCTCCAAATCACTAAGCTTGAAGTGTGTAAATGCTCTTTTAATTGTACATTGATGATAGTAAATATCTAGCGACTGCTGCACAGACTACTCTCTTCACCTTAAAAATCAACAAATGCAGTAAAATTTTACACTTACCAAAAGAAACAGCTGATTTTGGCACACTGAGCGGCTGCAGCAATTTTATCTTCCTCCCTTTTCCTCTTGATACGATCGTGTCGCGGCATTTTAGATGCAAATAGGAACAAAAACTACCGAAAAATTTTCATCTTGCCGTCTAGCAAGGGGGTCGCCATATTGTATGACGTTGACGTCTTCATTCACCGCGTGGCGTCGCCACTTGCCGGCCCAAATATCTGCGGGTGTATGGAAGTCCGTTCGGGAAAAAGGGCACTGAAAAATCTCGAGGGGGTTCCGGAAGCGTCAGAACCCCCCCCCCTGGATCCGCCCCTGATATAGGACTAAGACTAGTAATTATTTCCCCTTATTTCATGGACGAATGTAGTGCAAGTTATAAATAGACAATTTTTCCCTAAATTTTTTTCTCCCCTCTTCCTGCATTTTTGGGTTGACTTTTTGGTCTAGAATTGGAGAAAAGGGATCAAATTTGCAATTTCATAGCAGTTTTGGGTAATACTGATGATATTACAGCGGAGGGATAGGGGGTGTAAAGTGTCTTTCTGCAGAGCAATCATTGTGTCGGAAGTGAGATTTTCACCCCTGTCAACTTCAAATCCGTGTAGCAAAAAATCTAAATGGTCAACCCCCTACAAAATTATGATGAGGAGATTGCCAAATGTTGTCCCCATTGTGCCTATAAAGATTGGAACCAACGGAATGTTGAGCAAAAAGCTACAGCCTTTGATGTTACAGTCATTTTAACATTGAAGTCAATGGGCAAATAATTGCTAGTCTGAGTCCGTATGTTAGCTGTAAATGAGAGTATTTTCCCTTTTTGGGAATCAAGGGGAGAGAACTCCCGGGACTTCTAAGAAAGAAGCATGTTCTTTATTTATGAATAAATAGATGTATCTGGAAAATAATAAATGTATGTCAGCTATAGAAATGTCTTCATTGTGTACACCCCCTACAACATGGTGGAGATGCTAAATTGCCAACATTAACTTTCAAGAAGGAACTAGTATTTAATGGTCAAATAATTTGTAAAAACAATTGGATATTTCAAACACTGAAACAGTGATTTTTTTTCATAGGCTACTCATAGAGTATAGACTTAACTTTAACCATACCATGTGTTCAACAAATAATTTAATAGATTTCGAAGAAGACAACACTACTTTCACGACTGATAGCCAGAATATCCATTTGTTCATGGATGTAACTACACCAGATTTAATGTTTACACTCCAATCGCCGCACAAGTTTTTTGTACCAGCTGCGTTTTCTCAAAACAATGATTTAAAATATGCTGCTGAAGGTTGCCCCAGCCGTTCACCAGTCACCATCACCGTTCCCTTTGCACACACCCTTGGCAACATGCGGAGTACCACCAGCCCTCCCGACCCATCAGCCTTTGGCATGTCCAAATATTTATTTGCATAACAATGAACCCAGCAACGACCCTGTATCTATGACGGCCAACTATCAACCATTTGCCACACGATTTAATGGTTTATATTCGAGTGATGTCCATTCATTTTTAGCTGAATTTGACTCGTATACGTCGTTATCTCATGGTATTGATACAGTAGCAAAGAAAAAGGCGGCCTTTCACCTTCAGTTAGATGGTCCTGCAAAAATATGGTATGAACAGTTGACAGCTGGCGATCTACAACAAATGTCCTGGACGCAATTCATTGAATGTTTTAAAAGCCGATTTCATCCATTACATAATCCAGCGCTAATAGCCGAATCCGCGTAGTTTGACTCTCTAAACTTACAACCTCACATGCCAATTGAATTTTTTCATGGAACATTACTACAAATGGGCCACAGACTTAGCAAATCGGATAAGGATATAACAGCCCGTTTTATCGCGGGGTTGCCAGCGCAGTTGGCATTTTATGTTCGAGCTGGAAATACTTGTGATAGTATGAGTGTTTTGATGGCTGCAAAGATGGGCGAAGCCTATGGGTACAGGACTGACTCTCTCCCATTTGCAAATTTGCCGCCCGTATCACAACCATTACAACATTCAGAACTTGAGGAAATTAAGAATAAAGTCTCCACGATATCTTCCCAGTTTCAAGACCTTCAAGAGAAATTTTCAAGTATTTCCAAGTTCCAATCTCATGGACGTTATCTGCAGCCCAATAGACAGAGACAGACAAATCCACCTCAGTGGTATAATCCACGTTACCAGCAGCAATATTACAGACCAAGATATTATCCTAATTATCCTCCCAGATATTTTAATTAGCTTGTACCACCGACGCCATTCAATTATGAGCCATTAAGGCCATCTGATCATCGTTCACCGGGATACCAAAATTATAGAGCGCAATCACCATCATTTAAATCACAACGGGAGACCCGTCCGTCATTCCTTCAAGATCCTCCTCCCGCCACCTCGGAAAGTCATCCGGGAAACTGACAACTGCCAAGGCTGAAGGAGTATGTCCCCTTGGTGGCCCTATGTTACTAAATCATGCTCAGTTGAATAATGACCTGACTTTCAGTGCCAGACATTCGAATAAACATTTTATTTACTTGCCAATCAAGTTTCAAACTGTTAGTGTGTCAGCTTTAATTGATACGGGAAGTGCTATTAATATTTTGTCTTTAAAATTTTATAATAGTTTACCTGATAATGTTAAAACCAAATTGAAACCTGTGGAGGGGAAAGTTATAAAACTTGCCAATGATCTCAAATTTGGTGTAGTAGGCACAATTTTTGTTCAGTTTTCCTCTCCGCGTGGTTCACATTATGTTGAATTTATTGTTTTAGAAAAATCCTCGCAACCTGTTATATTAGGGTCTCATTTTCTGCATATTACTGGAGCCGTATTAGATTTTTCTCACCAAACACTATCTTTTGACCGATTAAAGGTCAAGTGTTTCAAACATGTTGATATTCCCGCCAACTCGGAGGTTTTAATATGGGCCAATGTCCCACAACATTTATCACCTGGCTTACAGGGTATTTGTACCGCTCGTGATAGTGCATATAAGCAAAACTTGATGGTTTCTAAGAGTATATGTGTTGTATCAAGTAGTCATACTGTTCCTCTTAGGGTTTTGAATTTAACCAATAGTGTTGTAAGTTTAGTTAAAGGTAGTATTATAGCTGAATTTAGTGTAATTGATACAAATTATGATGTTATACCTATAGATTTGCCTATTAACCAAATCAGTCACGATAATTCGGAGAAATCACACACTGAGAGACAAATTTCTTAATCAAATTAATTTTTCTAATACCTGTGTAACTGGCCATGACCTTGAATCCTTACAGAGATGTTTATATGATAATCATATATTCTTAACCGATGAAAATTCCGATTTAGGGTTGACTGATTTAGTCCAACATAAGATACATTTAAAGCCAAACTTTGTGGCCAAACAACAACGACCTTATAGATTACCACCAGATAAACGTATCGTTTTACGCCATCAGTTAGACGAACTTATCCGCCAAGGCGTTATTTGTTTTGTCGATGAAAATGATACACTCCCAATTACCAGTCCCATTGTTCTTGTAACGAAGCGCAACAAATCTGGAAAACAGTATGTTCCCGGAACGATGGAAGCTAGTTTATCAATGTATCGATTTTGCTGTGATTTTCGATATCTGAATTCTCAAACACAGGACTTTAATTACAGCATCCCTGACCTCCAGGAATTAACGGAGTCTTTTTCAAACAAACAACCACACTATTTGACATCGATCGACTTGAGCCATGGATTTTTCCAAATGCCTATTGATCCCGAATCATCAAAATTTACAGCTTTTTCCACTTGTTTTGGCACTTACCGTTTCTTACGTTTACCTATGGGTTTA